CTTAGCTTCATAATAGTAACTAAACCTAAATTGAATGTTAGGCGAGGTGCACAAGAGTAAACACTAATACCAGTTCGAAATTTGCAAGTTGCTGAAGTTGTTGACAGAAGACAAATCGAAGATAATGCTAAAGGTATTGTTCAGAATGAAAGTCAAAACTTCTGATGTTGATAGAAGAAGATATCTCAATTTCTTCCCATTGGCTTAATTCAATTTAAGAATACAGTAACTGGTATGATATAAGGATGAGCACAGAGCAGGTATAAGGCAAGTATAGCCATTCCCATACCCGTCTTATATCTAACGCGGGTAGCAAATTCTTGACCCACCACCTTTCTCGTGGGTAGAATTTCTTATCCATCACTTGTCCCATTTACCTATTTTTTAATTCTAAAAGATCTTATAAATAAATAATTAAAACTTAACTAAAAATTGTAAGTGTTTAATAAAAAGAAAATATATATTTAAATAATTTACTCAAAAATAAATATAAATAATACTATAAAAATATAATATTGGATATTTTACTAATAAGAGTTTAGTTAATATGAATAGAATAAAAAATGAAATAAAAATTTAGCAATCATATATAGTGCAGCGGATAGGACATGTATATCATTTAATCAATACCTACTCCATACTAATTTCAGGTTTATAATTCTCTACTTGCACTTGTCTTATAATCCGTTACATGTACTCACTCCAACGGAGCTGGTTGGGTTCAGGCTATTGAGTAACATGCTCTTGTGCCCATCTCTAGTATGATATGTTAGAGTCAAATAAGCAATAAAAGATTGGCTGGAATTGTAAAAATACGATAGTAAAATATTGAAGAGAATATAACATTAATGAGACAATAGAAAATTGAAACATGGAATGAGATGAAAGTCACTCTTTGCGAAAAGTATTTACATCTCAACTACTTTTGACAAGCTTTGTTGTCAAGTTTACATTTTAATTTAAAGCAATATATCAATAACTAAGTACTGAAATTAGTTTAAAGGGCTAAAAAGTTGAAGTCAGTTGGTAAAATATGATAATCAAGCAACATCTTGATTCAAGACAGGATTGAGGGTTGAAATTAAAAGAAAATACTATGGAAAGTCAATGTAAAAAGGGACCTAAGTCAATAATTGGGTCCATTGACATTCAACTCAAGCATGAAATTAAAGCACAGATTTGTTAATATATTGATTTCATCATTACACCAAGATTTTTGCACTCTTAACGAATTATGTGTTTTCTACTAATTTTGACATTAAAACTAATTGTGTATTTCTGTTAGCTTTGGCACAAAACAAAATAGTTTAAGTTTCAAATTTGCCTAAATAGATTAGAAATATATTAAATATAAAACTATTATATTATTTAAGGGGATATTATTATATTATTCTCTTAGTATTTAGTTCTCCCATTTGTATTAGTAGTATTATTTTCTAATTAGTCTAATTTTATTCAGAAAAGATTACATATGAAGCAATTAGAAATATTTCTACAAAGTCACCTTTTGGGACAAGGTTCAGTTATTCAATGGAATACATTTTTGTTTAAACTGGATAGCACCTTCTTCTTTGGAGTGTTTTATGAATTCTAACATGGATGTATTTCCAAAAAAAAAAAAAGAATTCTAACATGAATGACATGAGGGTGAAGAAAAAAGTTACACCTCTATAGACAGGAGCTCTATTTTTAGGTTTATGGATGATATAGTTATAGC